ATACATCAATGCCACACGAGAGAGAGAGAGAGAGGTGATTTGTGTAATGTCCAATTTTCGCGTGCACTAATTATAGAAGGACCTGGTTCTTCTATGTATTCCTTATACTACTGTCGCGGAAATAGTAAATGCGAAAAGTAAAGAATACAAGTATTTTTACTTGAAAAACACCCGGCTCAAAAGGTGAAAAAATCACAACCTACTATTCAGTAGGATTTTTCCCAACACTTCACTAAATCACTGAGCCAAAACAGCATTACAAAACTCTTTGTAAACCAAAGGATTACCTCTAATCCCGTTGTGGTAACCAACCTCTAACTGTAGCGATAATTTTAAGTTAACTCTAACTTGAATACTCAGAGTACCTAATACAATTGCCTCTAGATAAAGCTGAAAGGTACAATTTGAAAAGCCCTACTACAATTGAACTAGAATAAAAGACAAATACTTGGAACTGGTTCTTCTATCATGTTCATGTAGCTTCAGGTTCGCACACTTAAATCACACAAGAGTTGCTTGCAAAATGCCTTGCTATTTTTCTCTCAACTCACGTTTAACTTCAGCGTTTGTGTGTCACCTGTAAAATGAGAACATCCTGTAATTTATAGAGTTAGTAGAATATGTATACTAGAGTTTTAATGCTATACTCTTCCATGGTGGAAGAGTTCTAGTTATCTTCAACTTCTAACTACTCCCTTATCTAGGATAGAGTTCTCTTCGAGTAAGGAGTCCTTCTCCTTATCATTTATGCAACCTTTTCGTTCAGGAGATATCAGATATAACCACTTAAGCTTATCTTCTTCACGTACATACCTTGTGCTTGAATCTGCCCGTGTCTATGTACACTATGTATGGACCTAATTCATGCTTGAGTTCCTTTGTCAATCATCAAAACAAACCTCATTTGGGCCAACACTATACTGTTCCTACAGCTAAATTGAGTGAAATGCTACCTAGAATAAGTTAAGGCCAAACACATTGAAATTTGGCTAAGTATTGGGAAACCTGAGTCAAGCGAGCGATTTGACTGCCGCACGGGACAAACCTCAGGCTAAGAAAGTTTACCCCTATGACAACTTCCGTCATGGTGAAGGTGAGGTGATAAAATGGTAGTTCATTTAATTTGATAGATTTTCACCGCCACTTCCAAGTCTGATCTATATATCCTATTGATTTGTTTCGCGTTCTTTTCTTTTTGATCTTGGAGAAATATTGAAAGAAATTTGCAGTTATATATTGCTAGACAAGAATATACAAGTAGCATGACAAACAATTAAAATAATAACAATGGCATAGTTTGACATGCAACCCACTTTTAATGATTTCCTATAAACTAAATCCCTTAATCAATACTATTATAACCTACTTTGCACACGAATTTGGATATAAGACTGGGGGTTCTAAAACTAGACTTCCTATCCTAGATAAAAACTTCAATGGTGATGAACTTAAAGCAGATAGTGACAGCTGCATTTGGTGAATTTTAAAATTTGCGTAAAACTTCAAATTCAATTGACAGTGTCCTAATGATGAAGACAAACAAATCGGTACATACAATTTTAGCTTCCGCTAATAATAATAATAATAATAATTTTAAAAAACAAAAGTGTAGATCTGCAGTGTTTGGTATTTACATGCATCCCGATGTCGTTGTTCTATGTGCTCCCATACAACAGTATTAAATTTCCATACCGCCAACATGGTAAATGTGGAGGTGGTAAAGGTGGTAGCGATCGTGGTGGTGTTGATGGTCGCAATGGTGGTAATAAGGTGGTAAGGTGATATGCCACGTAGCGTCCACCTCGTCAAAAAAAAATTACGAGACAAGGTAAACATATACACTGTATTAATCATTCGTAGCTATACTTTCCAAAAATTACCATTCGTAGCTATGTTTGAATCTTATAGCAAATTCATCTGTAGTACTGAAACACGAGATCAATTATTTTGAACTGAAATAAGAGCACAACAAGCTCTTGCAGCTCAATTGGTTAGCACCCGATTAGTAAGCGGAGGTCTTATGTTCGACTCTTAACGAAAGCATTCTATTTTTCTATATTTCACCTTGATTGTATTGGTTGCGCTAACGAATAGACGATATATCCTTTTTATACACCCATTACGCCTTTGTTGTATTAATTCGTTGACACATGCTATATATACAAGTGATATGATTTATGAAAATCCCTCAAACTTGATGAATCTTTCTCAATTGCTCCCACGCATCTCGAGTTTTACGTTACATTTGACCTCCAAACAAGTTTTTTTTAATTATTTTAACCGATTAATAACTTACATGACCGGTAAATTCAACAATATCGCCTACTTAGATATCATAAGTAATGTCAAGCTATCAGAAGAATCATTGTAAAACGGAAATGAGAATGAAATAAAACGTGTCAAGAAATGATTTTTTCCCCTCATGTCATTGTATATCTTATTTTATATACTTTTTTAGTTCTATTTTTACTTTTTGTAATTCTGGTGGAGGGTGATTATCCATAGCAAATATTTTTTAGATAAGAAAATCAGTAAATTTTGAATAGAAGCCAGCCCCTTGAAGGTAACTGACATCTCAATTTAATAGATTGATAGTGCACTTGGTGATACCTTCATGCATCAAAAAACCCTGCAAACTATTTCTTTTAGTAGCAGAAATAACTTTATTTTCAGCTGCTGAAGCAATAATCAGATACAAGCATTTTGTCAGGGACCAACATCAAGAGATCACTATTGGTCAACGAGTTCCCAGAACATCTAATTGAATAAGATAACAATTCATGTAACCAATTTCAATCAACTCGATATGCGTCTGCAGATACCATTCCTCTATGTACCAATTGTTAGCACATGGCCTAGACGCCCAACTCAGCTGGTGAGGCTAGCCTAGAATGAATCTGAGAACTGACAAGTGCTACTTCTTTTTGGTTGCTATTTAAAATAGAGAGTGAAAATGTTATAGCGCTGTGAAATAAGGACTCCAGAGATTATTGCAACTCAAGATCACGCAAAGTTCTTATTTGTCAAGACGATTCTTGATCAGTTCTTGACCAGTCTTTGCATCCTTCACATTGTGTTAGCTTTATACCCAGCGACAAGGTAGCAGTAAAAACCCCTGTTGTAGCTTTGTACCCCAACCTACAAAAGTAATCTTTCGGACCCATATTCTCCAATTTGGTGTAGTTCTAAAACGAGAGAACTATGCACTTCCTTTCAATGGTGTGTGCACTCTGCATATCAAAGTGATCTGACAAGAACAGCTCTTTGGCCCCATGTACCTAATCTGCAACCACCAATAGACTCCTCAGGTCAGTAATACCGTCCAACTCTAACTGTCACACCATGTTATCAAAGGAAACCCCGAAGCGAGGCTCAAAACATGTTGAGCGCTTCGCATCGCTTAGCGGGCGCTTTAGTGTTGTTATCAAAGCTCTAAGGTATACTTTTCCTTACCAACGAGCGTAATCCTGAAGACGACACTAAACAATTGATATTTCATTTTATTGTAAATTTTCTTTGTCCATATATTTGGTATTCATGCTTATAGATATTAGTCTTGGACTACACATGCGTATTTGTAGTTTTTCTCCATTTACGTTTTTCTTCATTAAAACCCACACTTTATTTGCGCTTTGCGCTTAAAGCCCCATCAGACCTTAGAGTTTTTTTGCACTTTTTGCCTTTGATAACACTGCTATCACATTGTTGGGGTGGTCAGCCTCAAGCTTCTCCACTCTTACCACATAAGGAGGCTTATCAGAATAAGAATCTCATTAACACAATCACCAGGTCTAACGACTTTGTTGGTGCCCTTAAGTGTAAGAATCAGGGTCTTTCTTCCCAGGTTAGTCTTAGCCATCAATCTTTCAACTCACTCTTCAAAACCCAGAAATTTCTTTTTGTTTTTACAATAAATAAAGAGACAAGAGTGGGATGCTCTAGTGGTGAGCACCCTCCACTTCCAACAAAGAGGTTGTGAGTTCGAGTCACCCCAAAAACAAGGTGGGGAGTTCTTGAAGGGAGGGAGCCGAGGGTCTATCGGAAACAGCCTCTCTACCCCAGGGTAGGGGTAAGGTCTGCGTACACACTACTCTCCCCAAACCCCACTAGTGGAATTATACTGGGTCGTTGTTTTTACAATAAAGACTCAGTCTTTTTTCCGTCTTCTTTAATGAAAATGAATGACCCACTAAAGAAAAGAAACTACTTTGGAGATGACAACTGTAAAAATGGAAATGGTGAGCGCAGGGACAACTCCTCCATAGAAGAAAAGGAGCAAAAGCCCTAGTTGCTAACCATTTTACTAGAGAAGAAAAGAAAGTTTTAAACACTTGTACGGCCAAAATGCAACAATATGATGATGAACTTGTCCTATTTTAGCACAGTAACAGATCAAAGTAATCAAAGCTGCCTAACTATTATAAATGCCTCATAAAAGAAAACTTATTCGCACCTATAGTACACCAAAACGCATCACCATGTGTCTTTACATGCATTGTTATCATTTAACAGTATTCAATTCAGACCCATTCTTATTTTAATTTTTTTTTTTTGATGAAGTAAAACGAGTTTTATAGGAAAAGGCATCAAGAAGATGTAAGAAGTACAATAGAGAGAGAAAGAGTCAGCTTTGATACAAAAAAAAAAAAAAAAAAAAACTAGGCTAAAGCAAAAGAGCTGACAAGGGCTAGGTGCACCAATAGCCACTGAAAATTTAGCCAAATACGGAAAACTATTAACTGCTTCTTCCGCTGTACCTTCTTCTTCCCTCTTCTTTTTATTCTTCTTCTACTATCTTCTTTATTTCAAACTTCAAAACACCTAACTCTCACAGAGCTATTTACAGTTTCACACAGACAAAGCTCACTTTACTCCCAGAAAACGCACAGGAAAAAAGAGCCTAAAACCAGTCCAAAAACTTTTTGGTGTGGTAATTCCCTGATCTGCTCAACCAAGTTGTTATGGGTACTTACTTGGCGTCGCAAGGATGCAACAGAAAATAATCAGAAACAGAAGAAGTTCTCTGGTAAAAGCACTAACCGAGTAACAGATGTTCACACCAAGAGTTCTTTTTCATTACAAGCTAGATTCACATTTACTCCCACTAAACCTTCTTGATGACAGATCCGTTTGCCTCAAGTCTGCCGCCATTTTTTATCATAGCAGCTTCAGAAATCACATAAAAACCACTGATACACCCATCATCGAATACACTCCTCCACCTATATAATGTTCAGGACACTCAATTTGATGAGTGGCCTGAAGTTCAATTGTAGAGTTGGAGAGATAATCAAGTAGAAGAACCTTCCTAACCTTCACGTAAAGCCACTGCTTCCACAGTTTTCATTGATATCCTGTGTTGACTGATCAGGAGCCTTAAAGGTCACCTTCTCCTAAAAAAAAACAGAAGAAATGGAAATGCCTCAAAATCATTTACCGGTTAATGTTACTGAGAAATGGGAAAAAGACACAAGAATCCCACCTTTTTCTTGTCCCACTTTTCCTGACCTTAGCTGCGTTATCATTTCAAGTTTGCTGTTTTTCTAGTGATTTTCCAATATTGCATAGGCCAAATAAGTTCATATCAGAAGAAAGGATTTCCTACTTTCCAGGAAGGGAAACAGAAGCATGGGAAACTTTACAAGGATGAGGAAGAGGAAGAAGTGAGGTTGGTAAGTTTAGAAGGGATGTGAAGTATATAGTAGAAAAGGAAAAAGGTCATATCTACCTTTCTACTTTCAAATATTATTCGTATTTATCCTCCGTTTCACTATTCGACTATAAAACCCCTACTGTTATACTTTGTCCAAGTATACCCCTTATCCGCTAAATAATCTGGTCCCAACCTAAAAATAGACACGTGGAGGGCTAGAGACTAATTTAAAAGACCCATTCATTTTGCCCAAATCGATACCCAAAATTTCCGTAACCCGACCCATTACCTCCCTAAAAATACTCTCTTAACCCAACCCATTAATTCAGACAAAACAACAAGTAAAAGCAAAAAGCAAATTTGAATTTGATCATAAGCCCAAATTCAAACAATTTCAAAATGACAAAACAAATCCCCATTTATCCCTTCTTCAAAAAACCCTTTCTCCATTTCACAGTTCAACACGCTCTCGCTGCAACCACCCACACCGACACACCCAACACCCTCTCCAGCAGAATAAAGCAAAAGCAAAAAACATTTCAATTCAACCATTTGGGTTCTGCACAAGCTCAAGTTGAAAAGTTTCGTGAAAATCTTGATATGAAAGACTTGAGATTTTTAGGACATTGAACTTGTCACTATCTTCAAATCCAAGCAAAACCCATTTCTATTCAACCATTTTTCTTCGCTTTGACCCAGCCCGACCTCAACAAGACCACCCCCGCAAGCACTGGTCTTTCTTCCTCTGAAGAAGATGACATAGTCCTTCTCAGTCTTGACAGTTTTCAATACGATGTGGTGGGTGTTGATTTAAATGATGTAAATTCAGAAAACAATGTAAGCAGCAGCTCCACTTGGAATGAGAAATATAGGGAAAGAGTGAAAACTAAAGTCTTTCGTGAAGAAGACCCTTCTTTGGTGATTAAATGGATTCAAATGGGTCGGGTTATGGGAATTTTGGGTGTTGATTTGGGCAAAATGGAAGGGTCCTTTAAATTAATCCTTAGCCCTCCACGTGTCTATTTTTAGGCGGGGACCAGATTATTTAACGGATAGGGGGTATATTTGGACCAAAGTATATTTGAACAATATTTGAAAGTAGAGGGGTAACTATGACCCTTTTCCAAAAATAACTCAACGACGGGTAGGGGGTAATGTTGCAGAGGTAAGCCGGGCCTTGGCCGAAACTCCAGACATCAGTGGATGGAGATATCACCAGCAGAAGGATGGCGGTGTCACATGACAACATGTTCAATTATGTTTTCAGGTTCTGGACTTATGAAATGATCAACATCAACTATATTTTGCTGCTGGGAAATAAGGCTGCCATATGGTATGTGAGTGATGAAAATCAACCAGTAAGATATAGAAATGTGACAACCTTCATAGAGAAAGGGTCTAGTGACGAATTCTATGTCCATGGATGGATGGACTTGGAAAGAGATTGGCAAGTTCATTCAGGAGATGAAGTTGGATTGTACTGCAACAAGTAACGTGATTACTAGAAGTCATTCCAGAAAACTTTAAGAACTGCTATTTTCATATTCTTTCCTATAGGCTGTTTTCCAGCATCGTCCTTTACTTAAGCATGCCCACTGCTTTGAATTAGTTCAAATAGCACTAACTAGATTCTCAATCTCTGACTCACCCAAGATATTATAGTAGGAATAACTTGTCAAACATGTTAGCTAGAAGATTGTATTTCCTGCTGTTCTATCTTGATGTGCTAGCCTAGCTTAATTAAAAATTATTCTTCAAAAACATTTCGTCCATGTCATATAATTAAATTATTGTTGGTTTTAGAAGCTTTACTTTTTTCCTATGTTCAGGTTGGAAACATAAATAGCGGAGGAAACCAATAGAAGTCCAGCAACGGTAAGTTGTTGTTACTGCTCTATCTACTGCAACTCGATATACATATGCTTTTTACACTACATTCAAGATTGCCACTAATAATCTCACGACCAAAACGATGAGCCCCCATCATCACCATAACATGCGTCAAACATTTACTATGACTATTAAGCTCAAACTAACATCGAAAATGAGAAAAAACAAACAAAGAAGTCCCATAAGGTGATTATCATCCTCTCTTTTTGGAGTTCGTTTAGGTTTCAGGTAGTCCATTTCTCAATAGAGGAAGTGTTCTCACTACTCTGTGGCAGTGTTATCAAAGGCGAAAAGCGCAAAAAAGCTCTAAGGTCTGTTGGGCCTTTAAGCGCAAAGAAAGCATGGGCTTTAAGGAAGAAAGGCGCAAATAGAGTAAAACTACAAATATGTGTGTAGTCCAAGACTAATATCTATAAGCATGAATACTAAATATGGGCAAACAAATTGAAGATAATTTACGATAAAGTGAAATATCAATTGTTTAGTGTCGCCACTTCAGGATTGCGCTTATTGGCAAGGAAAAGCATGCCTTAGTGCCTTGATGACAACATTGAAGCACTCGTTAAGCGAGGCGAAGCGCTCAACGTGTTTTGAGCCTCGCTTTAGGGCTTAAGCGCGCTTTAAGCGCACCTTTGATAACGCTGCTCTGCGGTGGGGCCCAATGAAACTCATTGAAGATCCAACCATACACGTGGGGTAACATCCTTCTAAAGCTTGCATAATAGATTTTTATCACTTCATTTAAATTTGAAACCCATTCAAGATCCAGCCATTTGTGTGGCAATATTCTTCCTAAAGCTTGCTATAATAGATCTGTGTGACTTCAAGAATATTATAAAGCCATCGTGTCTTAATAGAATACCACTGTCAGGATATAGTTCTCCTTATCTTTACCAATTAGTTCCTAAATTCTCAATCAAATTCAGTTGAATATAGGAGCTCGAAGATGCTTAGCTAAAATTTGTCTTGGCTATGAGAGGTCATACGTTGAGAAACCGATAATCATTCTGGTGAAATTGCTGTTACCAATAAACACATTAGCTCATGGTGTTGATGATAAGTATTTGTATTATCTTACAGGGAACCTATTTTATTTTGACCAATTCAACATCTTAAAATTCAAATACAACTAAAAATCTTAGTGCTTCTTTCTCAAAATTAGTTGATATTATTTCCTCCCATCTTTTTACTATTTGCTACCAAAATATCATCTATACCACTTCATTAGTGTTGAAAATTAGATAAAATTTTACAATCAACTTTGAGTTTATCTTAAAGGCTCACTGAAGAAACTTAATCAAATTTAGAACTTGAATTCAGTTCCAATTCATTTGTCCCCCTAATCTCACAAATAAAATGGGGCAGATACCAAATGTACAGAGCAGAAAATCCTAATATCTAACCTCAGGCTCAGTACTAGCCACACTTAGTTCCTCTTGCGAATTCAATTTCTGCTATAACAACAAGCTTAATGAAGATAAACCCAGAAGATAATGATCAGATTTGCAGCTTCCAGAGAGGAAAAATCACCTAACCTTGGCCGTCCATGAGCTGGTCACAGCTTAATGTTCTTCTCTTTACCTATAGACATTTAAACAAGCTTTAGAAATTAGAGGTACACATCTAAGGATCAAGCATGTGCAGAATAGCAATCTCACCAAATACTTTTGATTTTAGGGGGAACCTTAAAGATGATCCTTTAAGTTTTACATCTCTGAGATGCTTGCTCCTGCTGGGTTTCTCCATTTTCGCCAGACCATTGCTGCTTTCTCCAGCTGAGGGAACATTTCTTTTCTTAACCTTTTCATGGTACACAGCAGGTGGTGCAAGCCTCAACTGAGGGATATTCTCTATTTGCATTGACTGATTGTTCTTTTGAAGATTAAGCAGGAGGTCAAACTGTAAAAATTTCACATGTGATCACTGGAGCCTAAATTTGGGGGGG